AAAAAAATTGATAAATTCATGACATGGACAAATGATGGGGTATGGCCCCCAGATGGGCAAATAGTAGTCTTAGATAAAACTGCAAGTTAACTATTAGCAAAATGCTTTAATTCTACTGAAGGTTTTCTGCTAGTAGATGGGTAGACTGTTAACAGTACAAGAGGCTCAGGTATGTGCACCTGGTATAGAAAATGGGTTCTTTGAGTGAAATATCTCAGTCACAAAAGGACAAATGCTCCATAATGCCACTGTTATAAAACAGGACTGACACGGGGTTTGGAGAGAAACTAAGAAAAGAGAGGATAAATAATGAACACTGTACTGAAACAGAGGAGGGAAAGAAATGTCCAAAAGAAATATGATTAGGTATTATTTGCATAATAGCCCAGAATATGAAGTGCATAGCAAAGTGGACTAGGGGGTGGGGGAAGGAAGTAAATTGTGCAACAATGAAAGCATATTTTTAAAGACAAAAGCAAATTTGGGAGTGAAGTATTGTGCAACAGTGAATGAATGGAAATCCAAGTTTTTTGTAAATTTTTGTTAAAATACCAAGAAAAGAGATTAGAAAGGAAAATGGGTCCTCCTCCTATTTGTTTGGGATCAGGTGCTTTCAAGACCGGCCCTAGAAGGAACAGTCCATTTTTATAAATTTGAGTATCGAGTACCACATCCATTTTATTGTCTTAAATTTAATTCATCTAATAGATTAAACCTTTAACCCTTAGATTTCGATGTATGCATCTTGTGTTGAATAAAACGGATTCCAATTTAAGTCTCAAATTATAATTCCAACCTTGCAGACTGTTTCACAAAGACTGAATTCAACGAAGACAGACTCTTGGATTTCAGCGCATTTGCTGACACACTGGGACCCTCCAACAAGAAAGGTTTTTGATTACCTGGAAATTGATGAACAGGGCTTCCTTCTGAATGGTTTGGGCCTATCTTGTGTACTGCTCCACTATGGCATCTATACTTAAAAGAGTAACCTTCTTACTTAATAATGTGGAATGAAATATTCTTAATTCTCTTTAAGGAATTTCAAGCAAAACCAACAGTGTTAGGGAGATTGTCTTTATGGCAGAGAAAGTGGGGTGGTGGGGAGAGTAGCTAAGTCCATGAAAGGACTTCTGGGTTTGTCTAAAAGTCTCTGATCCTAATTAGTTGGAAATATCTAGTGAATTGTCTTTTAATAAATGCAATCTCTAATTACTAAGGCCCCTGGACATCTTAAAAATGAAATAATTCATTTCCAGCTACTACCTGAAATGGTTTGAATTTATCTTAATTCTTTAGGCTACTTCTGAGCAGAGTAATACACACGGGGCCACATGTTAGAATCTACTCCAATGTAAGGTTTTGCATTTTTTTAAAAATGAAAATCCTGAGTGCATGTTGTACATGGAAACACAATGTAACCACTCACACTCTGCAGATTTAGTACATTAAGACTGGATATACGAGTAAAAGGTTTTGCTGTTATTATGTACTGCTGAGTCTGAACAGACTCATAGGCTGACCCACCGGTGGATTTTTACTGGCAATAAATTGCATGGGATGATACTGCTCATCTTTCTCCTGAGAAGCAGCTAGATTTCAAACACATGCCTTGGGATTGGCAAAAAAGGAGCTCTGGTGGCTTTGAGCAAGTTATGCCATTATCCCAGAGACTATGTGTCTCTTTGTGATTCAAATTCACCAGCTATTCTTCAGAAGGAAAAGAGGAAAAAAAAGCCTTACAATTTACAGCCTCAGAAACTTGGTAAGAGGGCTACTGTGATTTTGGACTGACCTTACCAGCTATGTTTAATGTCATTTTCATACACTCACATAACATAAAGGTGGTAGCTTTAAAATGATTCTGGAATATCTAGAATTTTTGACACAAATATCTAGAACTTCAGGAACCAAAGGGACACTAGTGAATTAAAATGCACTTTTGGGGAGAATAATAATTACTAATAGGTGATCATATCTAGAGATAACTTAAAATAAAAAATACTAGGGTGTCTTCCTTTCCTCTTTTCAGTAGGATCCTCTTCTTAATTGCCTTAAACTTGTAATAAATAGTTTGAATACAGTATCTCTCCCTCCTTGGCTGAGATCCGAGAAGTCTTTGTCATTTGAACTAACACAAACTTTTCCCCATTTCATTTGCTTCATACGAATTTAAATTATCCTCCAATCCAGCCATCAGTCAAAACGCGCTTTTTTCAGTCTTCGGTTACTGGTAACTGCCAAATACAAAATTACTATCCAATGGAATAGCTAAACGATCTGGAAAAAAAAAATCCCGGTTTCAGAATTTTTTAGTATGTTTTGTGTTGTTGGTGTTAAGTGCCACAGAGTCGTTGACAACCCACAGCGAACTTAAGAACCAAAGTCTTCAACACAAAGCTTTGATCTTTTTTCCAAGTTCACAGGTTTCCTGAGGCAAGCTTTCCTTTTGAGAGTGGATGCCCAATAGTTTTCCTAGTTCTCCATACATGACAGGCAGGCAGGCCCTCATTGGCGACTTTATTAGGCGAACTGCAGAACGTAGTCAATTCCAAGTGGACATAAAGCTTCTATCCAAGGCACCTTGGAATTCTAACAGCTCTACTAAAGAATACCTTCACCGCGGTCTCGGGGGGAAAAAAAAGTTCAGCGGTGGTTTCTAAAAAAATTAACTCCAAAACGTGGCAAATTCAGAAACCTCATAATCATGACTGACGACACTTACATAATCGTTAAGGTATCGGCAATGCAAAAAAACCAACACCACCCCACCAACCAACCAACAACAAAAACGACCCTCAAAAGAATGAAACTAAAGGAAACTTGCAAGCCTTTGGTCGATCTAACACATTCCCTAACTCGTAACCGTTTAAAAGGACAGATTTTTCGATTGCTACGTAAGACAATCTCCGTTCCTTAAAATAGTCAAGTTACCTGCTTGTTTCTGCCGGAAAATTTCAAGATAAAATAAATCAGGCAAAAAAAAAAAAAAAAAGTAATCTTAAGTAAAAAGCTAAGTTTAAAAGGAGGAAGACACGCCGGTCGCCAGCGCCCTGGGCTCGCCAGGCTGCTCAGGACAGCGTCGCCGCGGCGGCGAGCTCCTCGGTGACCCGCAGGCACCGGCGACGCGGCGTCCGTGGAAACGTCGCTGCGCGCAGGGCGAGGCGGGAATGGCCGGCCCGGCGCCGGGAGAGCGGCCCGGGCTGGGGCCGGAACCTCAGGGCTCGGCACCGTTAGCTGAGAAGGACTCGCCGGATGTGCGCCTCCATCTAGGTCCCCGAACACTGTACATCCTAAGGAGACCTTCGAGAAGGGCCAGCTCAACGGAATCCCGAGCAGCACGCAGTCGCTCCCGCTAGCGGCCGCGTGAGAGAAGGAACGGCGCGCAGGTACCAGGCGGCCTCGGAAGGGCGGGGACAAAGAATGGGGAAGCCCCTCGCCGCCGGTTCCTAAAAGCGCTCCTTGTTCTCAGTAGTCCTCCCGCGGCTGTCTCAGGTTACGACACTTCCGGATCCTTTTAAAGGCCCCCACACTGCGCGGCGCAGCGCGTGAGGCCGAGATATAAAGACCAGAGGCCGAGCCCGAGAGGGAAGGAGGGGAAAACTATCCAGCCAGCGGTAGAGGAGGCGGGGGAGGCGCAAAGGGCGCGCTCTCGCGTCACGTGACCGGGACGAGCAATTCTTCCGTCGGCCATTTTAGGTGGTCCGCGGCGGCGCCATTAAAGCGAGGAGGAGGCGAGAGCGGCCGCCGCTGCTTCGAATTCTTTTTCCGTGAAGCTAGAGAGAGTGAGAGTGGTTGCCTCGTGAGAGTGGGAGGCGAGGCGGCAGGCCGGTGAGAGGCGCAGCAGCCCCTGCAGCCCCGCGCGCGCCTTCTCGGTCTTGTGTTCTTCGCGAGGGAGAGCGAGCGCGCGGCAGCGGCGGGGGATTACTTTGCTGCTAGTTTCGGTTCGCGGCAGCGGCCGGTGTAGTCTCGACAGCGGCGGAGGCAGGAGAGCACTATGTCGGAGGA